GCCCCTACGCGCCCTCCAGCAGGAGGACGGATCTTCCGCCGGCTTCCGCCGCCAGGCCGGCCGCCGCGTTGTTTTCACTGGCCCTCCGCCGAAGAGGAAGGCAAAATAAGAAGAATAACCAGAAGACGAGTAATAATACTACTGATAAGGATAATAATGATGATAAGCAGCATATGCATAAAACAATAAGAATGATGATAAGAATAAAACAGTGGGGATAATCTTAGGAAGAAGAAGGATACGACTAGCACTAGCAGTAAAACGTGATACTGCAAAACGACAATGAGCATACGAATGCGAACAGTGACAAATAAGGATCACAGTCAAACGACTAATACCAATAATAATCATACGAACCACGAAGGAAACTTATGGCAAGCATTGTGATGAGAAACGCGCTCTTCGCGCCGAGCCGCCAGCGCCTGCGGGCAGCCCCAGGCGCACGCCCTGCGGCGGCGCCCCGCGAGGCGCGCGCGCGGCGGCGGCGGCGGCCCAGCGGAGCGCCCGGCCACACGCCGAGGCGCCCGCGCGGCGGGCCGCGGACGCCATCGCTGGCGGCGGAGCGCGCCGCGTCCGCGGGCCGGCGGGTGAGCGCGCCGTCAGCTTGCCTTGGGATTCAGCTCCTTCCCAGAAATGGCCGCGTCGTGGAAGCGTGGACAAAATCAGGACGGGCGGTTTCTCACTATATTTTCGGGCCCTGGGGGCCCTCGCCCGGCCTCGGGAGCGTCGACAAAACGACTCGGGAGGAGAAGCAAATCCTATGGGGAGAGGGTCCGGACTTCCGGGGAGGCCGTCCTGACAAAAAGTCAGGACGTCGCATGCCTCGGTTCCAGGCGACCTCCCTCCCTCCCGCTCCATCCCTCGCCCCTCTCCTGCAGTCGGTCCGTATCATATGGATGCGCGATCAGGATGCAAGTGCGCCTTGGACGCCATTTCGAAGCTTTTCGGGCGGGGCGCGGCCAACGAAAATCGCCAAGGATAGACCGAGGGGCAGCGCGGATGGGCCGGGGCCCGTTTACAGCACTTGCTGGAGGAAGGCGCGTGTCCCAACGGAAACGGAGCCGGAATTGGAGAGATGGGATGGGGCCAGGAGTCGGAAAGATCAGAGCCGGAGTCGGAACCAGAGTCGGAAAGACGGGAGCTGGAATCGGATCTGGGCTCCGAGAGATGGGATGGCGGCGAAGCTCGGATCTTCCATAAGGCGAAGCCTGGACGAGGATTCTGTTGTTCCCATCGTACTGTAGGGCCACATTCCAGAAAACATAAATTCGAGCACACCGAAAGAATTTCGTAAAAGTGTCTGCCCGACACGCTGGCGAAGTGCCGAACCAGTATCGCCTCCCACGGTGTGACAGGTGAAAACCGTCCAGTTTAGAAATTTCCTTGGTGCTCGGATTTTTTGTTAGGCGGGTATGGCTAAAGTAGGTTGGAACATCATAAGACGAGGATCAATTCGGGCGAGGGTCGCGGGTCGCGGGTCGATGTTCGAGAAGGGCCGCGCGGAGAAGCGCTGCCAGCGCCTCGGAGGCGTTCGGCTGGCGAGGCACGGTAACCTCTGGCATAGCACACACATGTCCTTATCCGTGACCCCACGGTCTGGATGCCAAGGCGCGATCCCATGGATACGCGATCGCGGGCAGGACGAAGCAGGACGAGGATAACATCGGGTGAGGATGAATCGACATTCTCTGAGATCCGGCAACTCTTGAAGATGTCTCGGGCGCCGCGGAACGCTCGGAGAGCGTTCCGGAACGCACTGGAACGGATTTATCCTCGTCCTAGCCCAGTCCGACAGGCCCCCTCGGCGAGCGGTTTGATGTTTTTTTGGTCTTCGTGCATCCCTAGAACAGGTTTTTCAGTTTCGGGGTCCTCTCAGCAGCTGCGCCTCGCCGAGGGCGTTTTGGGGTTGCCCAGATCGTGTCGAACGGCCGCCGACCACCTGTTGTGACCCAAAAGTCAAGCCCCCTCGCGCCGTGAAACAGAAATCGCCGCGGACCGTTGTTTTGCGTGTCCGTGCTTTTTTCGTGTTTTGGTATGTTCAGTTCTGCAATGGTTTCTTATGGTACGATTGCTTTGTCATGTCATGGGATGCTATCTGATCTGCTGATTTGCTATGGTATGCACTGCTCTGACATGGTGTGTTATGTCCCGAAGTGTTATATCATGACCTGGCATGCTACGCTCGGATATGTTATGATAGGCTGTGTGGTGTGATGCTCAAGTCTGTCATACCTTACCGTGTTGTGCTGTACTATGTTCTGCTATTGTATGACTCCGCTCTGTCATGTTATGATTTGTCGGCGCGATGCGGGACACTCGAGGGCACTCGGGGGACCTGGGGATCTGGCGGCCGCGGTATGCAGAGTGGCGCAAGGCGGGATTTCCGGGGATACTCGGGAGCCTGGGGATCTGGCGGCCGCGGTATGCAGACTGGCGCGAGGCGGGATTCTCTGGGATACGCGGGAGCCTGGGGATCTGGCGGCCGCGGTATGCAGAGTGGACGGGTCGGGAGGCCTGTTCGCAAAATCTAACGACCCCAACCTGCCGGGTGGGTATTAATCAACAAAAGCTTGCCGCCGTGATTTGCTCGTCCACGACGCGAGGGGGTCTGGATGCGCCAAGCGCTCTCAGTGAACCTCTTTCTGGGTCTTGTTTGTTCTCCCTCGCAAAACAACGGACCGCCTCGTCGTCCAAGCCGTACATCACCACGGCGGAGCTGGGCCACAGCGTGGGACAGAGGATTGCACCTTCGCCGCCGAGCAGCAGAGTTCACGAGCCCATGCGTGGTTACACATCGGCAAGCAGTGAAACGATGCTGAGCCAGGGGGCACCGGCGCCCAGGCTGTCTCGGGGCTTCGCTTGGGGGGACGCCTCTGCGCAGCACGACGCCGCGGCACGGGCGAACCCCAGGCCCGCAGGTCCAGCGCACCGGGGCGGCGCACGCCACAGGAGGAGAGAAAAGGGGGAAGAGGGACATGGCCTCCTCCTCCTCCTCCTCCTCCTCCTCCTCCTCCTCCTCCCAGAAGGACGAGAGCGAAAGACGCTGGGGAGGGCCGCCACGGTCTCGACTGGCCCTCCTCCGCTCCCTGCTCCTTCCGAGAGCCTCGCGCCCCCTGCCTCCTCGGAGCTCTCCTCGGTGCCTCATCGGTGTCTCGATGCTTTCCGTGCGCGGACCCCGGAAGTCCCGACCCCTTCCCGGGGACCGGCTTCTCTAGAGGCCTCCTAGATGGGGTCGGAGCAGGTGGGGCCGGAGGATCGCGGCGAGGCATCGGCGATTCCAGCGGTGGAGAAAGCCGTGCTCCACAACGAGCCGCATGGCCGATGCATCGACGATACGGCGCGATCCTCCGACCCCACCTGCTCGGACCCCATCTAGGAGGCCCCGACTCTCATCGGCAGGCAACCTCTTGACGGCCGGCCTGTGCCCGGCGAGGGCCGCCAGAGCCGGGAGATGGTAACAGAAACAGGCCGTCGCGTCTTTCACTGCACGCAGGGCCTTGGTTTTCGAGTCGCAGCTAAAGTCTCCGGCGGGCGTTCGGGACGTTCTGGGCACCCCCCGAACGTCCTCGGCGAGGCGCAGCTGCTGGAGAGCACCTCGAGGCCGGAAAGCCTTCAGGAACCGACGACGACGCAACAACAAACTCAAACTCGCTGCTCTGTTTTGATCCACGACGCCAGGGGGCCTGGGTCCCAGCTGCCTCCCGCCATCCCTCGATCGATGCACGCCGCTCGGGGCCGCCCGCGACGGGCGGGGGCCGCCCTCCCCGCCGTGTCCGTTGTGGTCCCATGGCTGGTGCCTCTCCTGGACCGCGTCGTCGGGGCCGCCGTGGTCGTGGCTGTGCCACCAGCCCTCGTCGTCCTCGGCGTCGTCCTGGGCCCAGACCCCTCCGCGCCGTGGCAGAGAGCGCGACGGACGGTTCGAGGTTTTGGACGTTCCTGGAGGTTTTCCTAGAGGTTTTGGACGCTTCTGGAGGTTTTCCTTGGAAGAAAGCAGACGGACGGCTCGAGGTTCCTGGACGTGTTTCCGTCAGTAACTGGGGGGTTTCGTTGTCCTCGGGGTGCTCCCCAGTTCCTGGAGGTTTCCCTTGGAAGAGAGCGGACGGACGGCTCGAGGTTCTTGGACGTGCTTTCGTCGGTAACAGGAGGGTTTTGTTGTCCTCGGGGTGCTCCCCAGCAGCTGCGCCTCGCCGAGGGCGCTTCGGGGTTGCCCAAATCGTCGTCTTGACGGCCACGGGAGACCTCCGCTGCGGCCCGAAATCCAGGTCCCTTCGCGCCGTGTGGAACACGCGATGGACGGTTTGGCCAGTCTGGGCGGCCCCCACGGGGCCCCAGGAGCCAAAATACGGTAGGGGGAAACAATGAGTGGACACGCCCCCGCTCCCCCAAACTCAAAGTTGGCACGCGCGGGGGAGACTGCGGTCGAAGCGCAACTCATCAGACCAGCCGCCAGCTTGGAACATTGGGGGAGGGGAAGGCGTTGATCAATGAATGTGGCATGCTCCGAGGCCTGTGGCGACTCAGGGCGAGAAGACGGTCCCCTGCAAGGGGTTGGGACTTCCAGGGGACCGACGGTGTGACACAAAGTCACGACGTCGGGGGTCTGGGGAGCGGGGCTGCCATGGAGCCCCGACTCGGGGGCCGGCCGAGGCACCGGTGGCCCTCCCTGGCGCTTCTCGTCTCAGGTCGGGCCTGTCCCCCTACAGGGGGATGTCGGGTTAAAAATGAGATATGCTGTAATCAGAAGGAACTCCCAAAATGTCAGAAAATAGTCAAAGGATCGGCCCCAGACTATTTGTTCGACTATTTCTGGAATATTCCTCCTGTAGGGGGACAGGCCCGCCTTGGTTCTCGTGCTCTCCTGGGCCTCCTGGAGGCCTCTCGCTCTGCCACGGCTGGGTCCGCCTCGAAGTACGGGCCAGGATGGACCCCGGGAGAGGTCTGGGGCTTGAGCTTGACGGGGTTTGGGTCTGGCGAGAGAGAACCGTGCGCTAGAATTCCGCCTCGGAGCAACCAGCCAGGATGGACTCCACCGGGAGAGGTCTGCGGGTGACTTTGACTGTCTGTGGGCCTGGCGAGAGAGCCGCGCGGTAGAAGTCGGAAGATGAGGGGTCATGAGGAGGATCAGTGGAAGGGAAATGGGCAGAAGCGAACGGCGCTGGAGGCGCCGCCAGGGGTGCCCCAGCGCCGATCCAAGACATCCACGCGGACCTCTGAAAGTTTAGGCTCATATCGGTTTCTGCCCTTCGAGTCCTCCACCATCGAGGCCTGAAGCCTCCTTAGTACATCCCTTCCCCGCCATAATCATGTTGGCGGCGTGCACGAGGGGGTGAAGGGAGCGAAAGGCTTCTCAGAAGGAGCTTGCTTCTTAGAAGGCGCGGGCCCTGCATCTATTGATGAAGCCCGCGCCTTCCGAGAACCGGGGCAAAGCCCTTCCCCCCTACCCCTGCCCCCCCGTGACTGCAACAAGCGGGTCGGGATGGAAACGGGCTCTGTGGATCCCGTGGCCTTCCCCCTGACTACCTACCAGACCACCCCAACCCAACCCGAAGACCCGAATTTCGGGTTGGGGGGGGGGGGTATGGGCTCCATATGTGTTTTTTCGATGTTCCCGGACCCCCCCTCACTAGAAATCGAGGGTAAATCTGAGCCTTCGGGTTGGGTTGGGGTGGTTTGGTGGGTGGTGACCCCCCGGGACCAGACTTGCGCCCCGAGTCGCTGCTTCATTGTCCCAGGGCGCCGCGGGGCCGAAAACGGCAGAAAGCCTCCTCGGACCCCTTCCTCCACGACGACCTTCTACGACGCCCTCCGCGCGTGGCCGAGCACGGTAAAAGCTCGTGCGGCGTCGGCGCGCACAAAATGTTTCCGGCACCGCGTCGCTCGGTCCACCTTGAGCCGATCGCGGCCCCGATGCTTCCAGGGTCAAATCCCGTCGGGCCCCGTGGCGGTACCGTGTCCCTCGGTGCTTCCGCGTCGCTCGATCATGTGCAGATTCAACCTGGAACGCCATCGCCAAGGGCTATGAAGGGACGCGTGGATATTTTTTCTTTTTCAAATTTCATTTTAGTGGTCTCGTGCCGAACAACGACAGACCTTATTGAACTGATCTGGTCAACACACAAAAAAAACGAGGTTGCCTTGAACGCCATCGCCAGCGTCGCCGGCGCGCCGTCGCCGCACGAACCGAACTGCCGTGTAGGAGAGCGAAGGCGCGGCCTCTCTCTGGCGGGCCACCGTCCTGGCGCGAGTGACCGTAGGGAAGAGAGAGGGCGACGCCCTCTGCGCGTGGCCGAGAGGCAGGGACGGGACGAGAAGGAGGAGGGAGGAGAAGGGAGGAAGAGGAGGGAGGAGAAGGGAGGAAGAGGAGGGAGGAGGAGAAAGGAGGAGGAGGAGGAGGAGAAGGGAGGAGGAGGAGGGAGGAGGAGGAGGAGGGAGGGAGGAGGAGAGGAGGAGGAGGAGAACGAAGAGGAGGAGGGAGGGGAGGAAGAGGGGAGAGAGGAGGGAGTAGGAGAAGGAGAGAGATGAGGAGGATGATGATGATGATGATGATGATGATGATGATGATGATGTGATGATGATGATGATGATGATGATGATGATGATGATGATGAGGAGGAGGGAGGAGGAGGAGGAGGAGGAGGAGGAGGAGCGCAGAGTAACTGGGGGAGCGTCGGGCGGTAATTTTAATGGAGAGGGGCGGCAGATGGGGGGGGGGAGAGAAACGTGCACCTCTTGTGCCCCTGGTGGGCCCACTCGGGGCCCCTTCAGGGCACTCCTCCTCCTCCTCCACCTCCTCCTCCTACTTCCCTCCTCCTCCTCCCTCCTCCTCCTCCTCCTCCTCCTTCCTCCTCCTACTCCCTCCTCCTCCTCCTCCTCCTCCTCCTCGCCCTCCTCCTCCTCCTCCTCCTCCTGATCCTCATCCTCTCCTCCCTCCTCCTCCTCCTCCTCCTCCTACTATCCTCCTCCTCCTCCTCCTCCTCCTCCTCTCCTTCTCCTCCTCCCTCCTCCCTCCTCCCTCCTCCCTCCTCCTCCCTCCTCCCTCGTGCTCCTCGTGGGCCCACTCAGGGCCCCTTCAGGGCACACAAGAGGTGCACTGCTCTTCACCCCCTTCACCAAGGCCGCGCTAACGGCGTGCTTGGTTGACGGTGCGGTTGGGAATATGTTGTTTGGTGACGCCGAGCTCACGCAGCACAAAATGTAGGACATGCCGAAACACCGTTTCCTACACTTCAAATCGGCGACTGCATCGAATGACAACGACACGGCGAGTTGTAGCAAACCGCGAGCCACGCGTTCCTACAAGTGCTTGGGCCACGAAGCCACGCTTTCCTACAATTGGTTTCCTGCGTCGTCATTAGCTAACACACCGTTAGCGCGTCTACGGTTTCATTTGCCGCACCCCCATGACGGTCGGACCTGGGCCAGAAGGACATCCTTCAAGAACGTGAGACCCTCCGTCGGCCCAAACAAGCAGAACATCCAAGGGCAACCCCTCCCCAGGATGCACAAGAACAGCCCACAAGCACGAAGAGCATTAGGGCACCCTCCGCGAACCGACCTCGATCCCCCCCTCCCAGACCCCCGACGTCACGATGTTTTCATGACGCGACCCCCAGAGGTCTCGACTCCTTCCCCGAGACCAGGTTCTCATCCCGAGTCGTTCTTTGACGGTCCCGAGGCCCGGGAAGGGCCCCCAGAGGCCGAAACTAGCGCAACACCTCCCGTCGTGATTTGATCATGCCTCGAGAGGGTCTTGGGCCTGGGTTATACCTCGGTCCGGCTGTACCCGAGCGCGGGCGCGGCCCCTCCCCGACGGCGCCGCCGTCCTGGCGCGAGAAGCGCAGCCGCCGGCCCCGCTGCCCCGGGAGCGGCAGCCGGCGCGGGCCGCGGCCAGGGATCGGCGGCGGGAACAGGCCTGCAGGGCGGCGTCGTCGTCGTCGTCGTCGTCGCCACCGTCGTCGTCGTTGTCGTCATCTTCGTCGTCGTCGTCGTCGTCGTCGTCGTCGTCGTCGTCGTCGTCGGCGTCGTCGTCGTCGTCGTCGTCGTCGTCGTCGTCCGAAAGGGGTGGATGATCTGGGGAGGAGTGTTCGACAGTTTTCGGAGGTGCTTCAAGGGGCTTCGAAGCCAAGGATGGGTTCCATCAACTGCGCCTCGTCGAGGGCCTTCGGGGGGCGCCGGAATCGCCTCGAACGGCCGCCGGATGCCCGAGTTATGGCTCGACGGGCACCCCAGAGAGAAAACGAAACAGCTGCACGAACATACGGTCGGGAACGCTTGCTCACTGGCGTGGCCTGGGCCTCCTTGGCTCATTTACCCCCCCCTGGATGGGGGTGCAGGCCGTCATCTTCGGGTTTCGAGGGGCTGGCCTATCCCCAACTGGGGTGAGGGGGTGGTGGGGCTGAGATACCATGGCCCGGTGGGGATGGGGATCGATTGAACGAGACTGACGTTAGGTGGGGGGGCGCTTGCTCAGCGTGTCGAGGCGGCGGACCCGGCGACACGCTATGCCCTGCGAGCGGATAGCGTGTCGCTCCGCTCCGCGGGGCGGGAGGCTGCGGAGAAGCTCGGGACGTTGACGCTTGGGGGCCGGGACGTGGATGGCGTATCGCGCCGAAGCGTGGTGGGCCAGAACCGGCGGCGCGACACGCGTGGCAGCCATCGTGCTACCATGAGGAACGCTGAGAAGGAATGAAGGGGCGCTCTGGCCACGGCTAGCCTCGGCCACGAATCGCTCCCCCGACGTAGCTCTCAGGAGCGGCACGAGAACCAGAGCCCCTCTTGAGCCCAAAGTGGTGCTTCTCTCAGCAGCCTGACTGTAAGAGGGGGGGGGAAGCTGACGATGCTCTCAGCGTTGCTGTCGGTTCTCGGCGGTCTTCAGGCCTCGGGACGCCTTCCAGCGGCTGCGCCTCGCCGAGGGCGTTCTGGGGATACCCAGACGGCTGCCAGAGAGGCTCGAGTTGTGGGCGGAAGACCGCCAGACCCACGGGGGAGGAGTGGACGTCAGGGGCGCTCACGGGGAGGAGGAGGAGGAGGAGGAGGAGGAGGAGGAGGAGGAGGAGGAGGAGGAGGAGGAGAAGACGGAGGAGGAGAAGGAGGAGGAGGAGGAAGAGGAGGAGGAGGAGGAGAGGGGGGCTACACGCAACAAGGCCACTTCACCTCTGCTCTGCGGGCGCCACCACCGTGACAAAGACGAGCACCAAAGCGAGGCATTAGCCAACCTGCAGACTTTACGTATACATTTGTGAATGTGTGTATGTGTGTATACATGTGTATGTATGCTTGTATGTAGGCAGGTAGTTCGGTCTTGGGTATATAGGTATGTGTATGTGTATGTATGTATGTATGTATGCATGCATGCATGCATGCATGCATGCATGTATGTATGTATGTGTGTATGTATGTAGATATGCATGTATGTATGCACGCAGGTGCATCTGTATGGATGTAAGCATGTTTGTGTGTATGTATGTATGGATGCGTGTATGCATGTATGTTTGTATGACTGTAGACAGTGATTGAGGTATGTATATAAGTACGTACGTATGTATGTATGCATGCATGTATTGAGGCATGTATGCATGTATGTGTGTGTATGTATGCATGCGTGCATGTATGCATGAATGTATGCATGTATGTATGTAGGTAGGTATTTTGTATATATGTATATGTGCATGCATATATGTGTGCACGCATGTGTGTATGCCTGTCTGTCTGTCTGTCTGTCTGTCTGTCTGTCTGTCCGTCCGTCCGTCCGTCCGTCTGTCTGTCTGTCTGTCTGTCTGTCTGTCTGTCTGTCTGTATGTGTGTATGCATGCGTGTATGCATGTATGCATCTATGTATAGATATATGTACACAGTAAATGTACAGATCATCGCCAGGAATCTACGACGAGGCCCACCTCGAGCAGCACGAACACGAGGGCACCCCAATGAGATTGCAAAGAGCCCCCGCCACGACGGCGCCGGACCAAACGATGGATCAACCAGACTGCCCCCTATACGGTAACAGCAGCAACGCTGCCGCGGGGGGCGCGGGGGAGGAAAGGCGGCGCCGGGTCGGCGAGCGGCCCCGGATGCCACATCCAGGCGCTCCTGGGCGGGCTGGGGCCATTGGGCTCTTCTTGGCGATGAAGGGGCGATCGGGGGTCGATGCTGATGGGCCTGTTTTCCACCACCACCACCACCGTAAGTTGTAGGGGAGGGGGTCCTCCTCCTCCTCCTCCTCCTCCTCCTCCTCCTCCTCCTCCTCCTCCTCCCCTCCTCCTCCTCCTCCTCCTCCCCATCCTCATCCTCCACCTCCTTCTCCCCTCCAACTTATGGTGGTGGTGGTGGAAAACAAGCCCATCAGATGCGCCCCCCGCTGCGCCAGTTCCCCCCCCCCCCGCCCCGTGCTTCTCGGGTCACCGCTCGGCTCCTCGGTCGGCGGTTTGGAATGACTCGGGCACCCCCCGAGCGCCCTCGGCGAGGCGCAGCCGCTGGAGAACACCCCGAGGCTAGACAACACAAAACCGCCGAAAAACAACGACGATGCCCGGGAATCTAGAAACGAGCCAGTCGTCCGGCTTTCGGGGCATAGCTCGGTTCTCCAGCGGCCGTTCGGGACGATTCGGGCACCCGTGGAACGCTTTCGATGAGGCGAAGCTGATGGAAACCACCCTCGGCACCGAAAGCTTTCGGATAATTTTCGAAAGTATTCGAACAATCCCAAGAATAGAATGAAACACAACTGCATAAACATAAACTTTTGACTGTCCGCGTGGATTTCTCGGATCTGAGCTGGACCCTCCTCCCTGGCGCGCGCAGCGCGCCAGGGGCGGCGCCGGAGGCGCCGCCAGGGGGGTTCAGCGCAGATCCCAGAAATCCGCGCGGAGCGCCAACAGTTTATGCTTGTGCCGTTTCTCTTCTTCGGGAGAAGAGAGAGGAGGAACGATCACCCCCCTGGCGTTGCCCCTCAAGGCCGTCGTCCAGGTACGCTGGCGGCAGGGGCTCCGCGCCGCCGTCGGCGGCGAGGAGGGCCGCCCGGGTGCCTCCGCACTCCAGGAAGAGCGGGGGGCAGTTGTGCGGCATCCTTGGGCGGGGCGGATGCCCAGCAAGCGAGGAAGAAACCACAAGGGGAGGAGCAGAAAGGACGAGGAAGGGGACAGGAGGGGGAGGGCGCCAGGAGAGCGAGGGGAGGGGGAGGGGGCGCCCTCCTCGGGCGGGGCCGGGGTGGGGGCGCCGGGAGGGCGAGGGGAAGGGGAGGGAGCAGGGGACCCTGAGATCTGGGCGTTGTGATTTCTGTCGCACAGGGCGTTTTTTCGCCGGGTGTCGGGCCCGGGGGCCATCACAGAGCTCGATCCAGCGCGAGAGATGACGCAGGGAGATGGGGTCCAGGGCCCAGGTTGTGATCTTTCGCTGTGTGGCAGCCTTTTCGAAACATGCGGATCTCAAGGGAGTGGGGGTGAAAGAACGTTTTGGAACGCTTTGGCAACTACGGCGTGCGGCAGAGGAGGAGGGGACAGGCGCGACCCGGATCCCAGTCCCCCAGCCCCTGCACTCCCACCAGACTGCGGGACGGGAAGGGCTCCGAGATGGCCGATCCCGAGAACGGCGGCAAGCGACTGCTGCTGAGCCGAGGCCAACACTCGGGCCTCGCGGGGCCTCGAGACTGCCTCAGGGGGCCCCGCATGTGAAGGGGCCCCAGGACACACAAATAAATACACACAAATAAACAGATTCCCATTATTTTCCTATATTTTCGGGGTTTCTGTCTTCCCCCCCGCTTCCCATATTTTCCAATATTTTCCTGGGAATCGACGATTAATTGTGTCTGTGTGTTTTTTCCCCTCCTGAGCATGAGAGGGGAAGATGCCCAAGCGGATGCGGCTCCAACGCTCGAGACCCCTCCTGGAGGGGGCTTCGCAAACCTTCTGCCGCCCGTCCAGCGTCGCAGTACGCCCGCACGTCTGGCAGAGACCTGCCACGCAGGTCCCAACAGGCCAGGGCGTGGGAAGGATGCACTGCCGCGCCCCCAACCGCGCCGGGCCCCTGGACCGACACAACGACCTCGGACGGGCACGGGTCAACCCCGACGGCCGCGGTGCAAGGCGCCTGACAAGCGTCTGTAAGGCCGACCCGAGAGTCAAGAAGCTCGCAATCGGTGCACCGAAAATCGGTCCCGTGAGCAACCGACACGATCACGATCAGGAGCAGAGCCTCGCCTAGCTCTATCAAATGAAGCGTCTTCGGCGCGGCCTCTGCGGGGGTCAGCCTCAGACGCATCGACTAGAGCCCGACGGGTTCTCCGACGAATCAACGCAGACTGTGCATCCCAAACATCGGTGCGAGGCTCGACACAAACTGACATGGCCCAGGAGCGCCCTGCAGTTTCCGAAGCCGCTTGATCAGCAGTACCATTACCAGCACGGACAGACTTCTGATGCTCCGACAGCTCCGCACCGTCCCAATCAAGATGTGACGGTGCCCACTCGAGGGTAACATCACCAGGACCGCGGGCGCGACGCGCGGTGCGAATTCGAAGCCAGATGTGCTCGTTACGACCCCCCAGCGACGAATCCAACCGACCCCTCTCCCACGTAATAAGGAGCGGATGATGATGCGTGACGCAGTGCACATGCCCGGAGGTGCCCTCCAGGCACAAGGCGAACGTTAAAAGCTCGGATCTTGGAACCGTCTGGACTCTGCCTAGCGAAATCCGCCGGCCCCCTTGTGGGGCCACCAGGCTGTAGGCGCGGGGTTCGCAGCCTCCTGTACCAGTTGTAGCTTGTAGTTTCCAGTGTTACAGTTCTGCTTCTTGCTGGTTACTGTAACTAGTTGATAGTTCTCCTTCTTGCTGGTTACTGTAACTGGTTGATTGACCGCGCGAGGGGGGAGAGGCCCAAACCGGCTTTTTAGCGTCCCCTGGGCGCGTTGTCTGAATTGCTGGGGGGGCTCGAAATCGCCACCCCTCACGCAGATCCGCGGGTCAGGGTCCAAAAACCCACAGGGGAGTTGCCACATTTCTGAAATTCGGTGCCACCCCTCACGCAGATCCGCGGGGTCAGGGTCCAAAAACACCGGGAATTTGCCACATTTCTGAAATTCGGTGCCGCCCCTCACGCAGATCCGCAGGGTCAGGGTAAAAAAACACAGGGGATTTGCCACATTTCTGAAATTCGGTGCCACCCCTCACGCAGATCCGCGGGGTCAGGTCCAAAAACACAGGGGATTTGCCACATTTCTGAAATTCGGTGCCACCCCTCGCGCAGATCCGCGGGGTCAGGGTCAAAAAACACAGGGGATTTGCCACATTTCTGAAATTCTGCGCCACCCCTCACGCAGATCCGCGGGGTCAGGGTCCAAAAACACAGGGGATCTGACACATTTCTGAAATTCGGTGCCACCCCTCACGCAGATCCGCGGGGTCAGGGTAAAAAAACACCGGGAATTTGCCACATTTCTGAAATTCGGTGCCACCCCTCACGCAGATCCGCGGGGTCAGGGTAAAAAAACACAGGGGATTTGCTAAATTTCTCAAATTCGGTGCCACCCCTCACGCAGATCCGCGGGGTCAGGGTGCAAAAACACAGGGGATTTGCCACATTTCTGAAATTCGGTGCCACCCCTCGCGCAGATCCGCGGGGTCAGGGTCAAAAAACACTGAATTTGCCACATTTCTGACATTCGGTGCCACCCCTCACGCAGATCCGCCGGGTCAGGGTCCAAAAACACATGGGATTTGCCACATTTCTGAAATTCGGCGCCACCCCTTACGCAGATCCGCGGGGTCAGGGTCCAAAACACACACGGGATTTGCCACATTTCTGAAATTCGGTGCCACCCTTCACGCACATCCATCGCAAGGCGTGGTAACCCAAACTGCGAGAACTCCCTCGACCCTTTAATCGCAAGGTGTGGTAACCAACCACCATACACGTCTTACCAATCGCCAGGTGTGGTAACCCCTCTTGTGATCAGTTGGTTTTGCTGATTGCGAATCGGCTTCGCATGAAGTTTCGATACTGCTTCACGACAGCGCCAAGGCCTCATGACTTAGCTCTTCCATGGCCCATTCTCCGAGAGAGGGGGCCGGCGGCAGGGGGCGAAGCCCTTACGGATATATCCTCCTCCTTCTCCTCCTCCTCCTCCTCCTCCTCCTCCTCCTCCTCCTCCCCTTCTTCTCCCCTTCCTCCTCCTCCTCCTCCGCCTCCTCCTCCTCCTCCTCCGCCTCCTCCTCCTCTGCCTCCTCCTCCTCCTCCTTCCACCGCCCGCCCCATGTCCCGAGCTTGTGGCAGGGCCATCAGCTCGTCGTTGTCGTTGTCGTCATGGTCGTCGTCGTCGTCGTCGTCGTCGTCGTCGTCGTCGTCGTCGCCTTCTGGCTCGGCGGCACCGGCGATAAGGCCTCCACAATAACCAAGAATCGCCCCCGACTGTCCCCCATTTCTCCACAGGTTCCCCTGATGGCGACAACGGCCGAACTGCAACGACTCCGCCTCGGCTCGGCGGAAAACGCCCTCCAGAGCCGTCACCCAAACCACCAAAGGTTCGATGGAACCTTCGGGCACCGAAAGCGCCGAAAGAGGAGTGGACCCCAGGGAACGCGACCCATCAGCTTCCGAAGGCTCCTGGAAAACAGGGTGGGTCATGGCGGTCGGAGGAGGAGGAGGAGGAGGAGGAGCAGAAGGAGGAGTAGGAGGAGGAGGAGGAGGAGGAGGCATCGAGCGACCGCGAGTCCGAACTAACGGACCCGCCCCAGCAGCATGAAACACAGAAGCTGCACTGCAGGGCATGGAACTCGCTGCAACGCACAACTCTTCCTCAACAGCCGTGCCCCCACCTCATCGGCCAAGCCGACAGAGGGGACTAGGCGTCGAAGGTGGCACTAGGAGCAAGAGGCACCGGTGCGAGAAGACCGCGCAGCGCATGAGAACTATGCATTTCCTTGCTGGCGCGAGCGGACGAGACGTCCGAGTGCCCGTTGCATCTGGCTTGCTGCAACTTCTTGTTGCGGCCGCCGGCTACGGAATAGGCGCCACACGCAAGACAAATGACCACCGAGCCGAACCTCTCGGCTTCGTGGCCCAGTTCCGTGTACACATCCACCTCCTCGTCGAACCCCCCGACGGCAACATCAGCCCGCTCCCCCTCCACGCGCCCATCCTCGAGGCTGGAGGCGTCCTCGAGGTCACGGGCAACACGCACGGCTTCGGCAACTGCGGCCGAGGGGTGGCAGTAGGACTCCGGAGTGAGATTGAAGTGCCCGGCCGCCGAGGCGCTCTGCAAGGGAGAGGGCGCGCCGGGACGCGCGCGCAGCGCCTTCAAGGAGGCAGGGGCACGAGCCCAACGGTTGCAGGCACGGCAACGACCTTCAGAAAGCAGGTCGCAAACCATGAACTCGTGGGGAGACAATTTGATCTGGGCCTGGAAGCGCTCCCAAAAACTGCTCGGAGGATGATCCCCAATGCGTCGAACTCCATGACAGCCCAACCGCATCGAATGAGACCTGGGAGCGAGGAAACTAACCCAGACCCGTCCGTGTACACCTTTCGCCCCCACACTCCGCGCCGATCCCCCCACCTAAGAGCTGGGTGCGAGTTCGCAGGAGCAGCGGGACAAGGCGGCAGGGGCGGCATCCCATGGCTAAGGCACAAGGCATCGATTCCGTCGAGCGCGCTGCTGAGATTCGAAACCGTGGCCTGCCGACGCTCCAGGACAGCATCGGGCGGCCGCTCGTCTCCGGGAACGTCTGAGACCGCAGGGGCACCCAAACCGCGGGTGGGCCTCGGTCCGCGGGCGCTGGCGGCAGACAAAGCATTCGGGAGCCGAACGGAGCTGGATAGAATGTAGACGGACTGGCGCCCACACGCCAGCGGTCCAGAGTGTCCTCAGAGCTCCCCTCCTGCTCGCGTCGCGTATTTTGAGCACCGAGCGGCGCCTGGCCCGCCTCCAACACGACGCCTGCGAACCGGTAGGGAGGTGCTCCAAGATTCGTGCCGCCTGCCATCGGCGAATCCCTCCCTCAACAAACCTGCGCACATTCGCATGGTCCAAACTTGAGGAGGTCAACCAACTCCCCTTGGTCCGAGCGGA